ATGCACAAGTCTCGTAAGTGTAGTATGTGTTTGAAAACTGAGCATAACTATATCACTTGTAGAGATGATATACCACTTAGCGAGAAACATGAACGATGAAGACAAGACGGCACATATGAGGCTTTTATAGTGTTATGAAGTACCGCTTTTGTAATATTGAAAAAGGATGGTGGTGTTATGTTACGATGTACTACTTTTGTAATTTTGAAAAGCAAACTACTTATGATGTTTGGAACGAGTGATTGTGTTATTATCTTAGACTCGATGAAGTCAGAACGGTAGTTATGATGTTTTTTTTGTTACACTAAAATGTCACTGGTGCTGTAACGACACTTGTGCCGTTTTCAGAATAGTAACGACAGTTGTGTCGTTTTCTTTTTCATATCGATTAAGTATTGAGCATATCTACCCTACGTTATAAGAGGCATGTCCATCCTACAACTTAGATGAGTTCATCTAATCGAATATCGTGGATCGGACGAGTCGTGGCACTCTGTACAAGTGTTTTCAGACAGACCGGCACAAGTGTCGTTTTATCGACAATAACGGCACTTGTGGCGTTCTCATGGAAATTTATTTACAAAACATAACAACACTTGTGCCGTTCTAGCCGAACGACCTCACGAATTCCACCCACTAACTCAAGAAGGTTGAAAATGTTGATTAGATGACAACTAACGGTGGAATTGATGTAGAATATATACCAAACGGTGAAATCACACAAGCCTACATTGATTTTGTTTGAAAGTATAAACGTTGAGCATATCTCCCCTACGTTGTAAGTGGCATGTCCATCCTACAACTTAAATGAATTCATCGTGCCTCGGATGGGTCGTAGCGCTCTGTATAGGTGTTTCCAGGCAGAATGACACGAGTGCCATTAAACGACACTTGTGTCGTTCTGTTGATTTCATCAATATTTGTCTACTTTTCCAGCCGAACGACCTCACGAATTAGACCCACTAACTTAAGAAGGCTGAAAATGTTGATTGGGTGACAACTAACAATGGAATTGATGTAGAATATATGGTATTCAACGGTAAAATCACACAAACCTACATTGATTTTGTTTGAAAGTATAAGCGTTGAGCATATCTCCCCTAAGTTGTAAGAGGCATGTCCATCCTACAACTTAAATGAGTTCATCTAATGAGTTCATCGTGG